CGGGAGTCCACTTTATAAATGGTGGCAACACATCTGCAACAACGCTTATTGTAGAGAATTGGATGTAGCAATAAAATATAGATCGCTGGTATATGATTAACCTAGCGGCTGCCCGCGACTACGTCTGCGTAGAATAGGCTGAAGGCGTAACATTCAGACAGAAATACATATATACAAAAACATATGTATACAAATTATAGCCTATGTCTTATTCTGATGTATAAGCTATATTATTGTAAAGTTTCATTAAAATCCATTCAGTAGTATTTGCGTGAAAGAGTAACAAACATCCATCTATACATACAAACTTTCGCCTTTATAATATTAGTAACGATTAGTAAGGATTACTTGCTAATTTTGATGTTGCACTAAAGCTGTTGAAGTTGTAAGGGATGAGGCAGGAATTGGGTGCCCTCGCCGTCTCCCGCCCTAATGGGCCTCCGGGTGACAGACGTGGGGACGTCTGTCACCGAACGGTATGAGGCCCTGCGAAGGCAAAGTGCCCACTGGTGTCATGGACACTCATGCGGAGGACGGGGACAAAAGGCCCTTCGTGGCGTGCCCCAGCCCTGTGTAGGGTCGGGGTAGCCGTGGCTAGGTTGCAGCATAATCACCCGATGGGTTGCATTTCCCATCGTTAAAAAAAAGGATTTGGGTGCCCTCTAACGTCTATGCGGAAGTGGCGTTTGGTGTTGTCGTAACACTATGAAAATGTGTTGCAAATGCCAATGGGCGGTGGTTATCACTTAACACTAGGTGAACCGCCAGCTTCCATGTCACCTTCTCATAAAAAATAAAACTTTATCATTTATTCACATGTAATAGCGTAAACACCAGATATTATTATGAACGATTTCTTATTGTATACATTTTAACCGGCCTATTGCAGCCGCTTAAAACACTGATAATACGTTTTATCCAAACCAGTTAACATAGATTCCGTCAAAATATTTTAGGTTAGCAATTTCTTTTTACGGAACATGCATTGAGGAATCTCCCACTTAAAAAACCAATCGTAAAAACTTCTCCAAGTTCGTGCGTGGAACGCATAATGATGCATAAAGATGGTCCGTCGTACTTGAATCACCAAAGTCTGGTTTAAAATCGCCTAATCTTTTATGAAGGAATCCGCTTTCCGAAATTGCTCAGGTGAAAGACAGCTTGTATTACGTAGTGAATGAGTCAAGGCTTCTTCGTAAAAGATAATTTCTATGAGAAGTTAATTCAAAATCAAAAATCAAAATCAAAAATATATTTATTCATGTATAATTTTTTTTATTTAATGATAATTTCCTGTATTTACGCGATTACACATTATAAATGAAACTAATTTTTACGGATTCGTCGCGTTTCTTTTTTATTTTTAATTTTATTTCCCGAACATTGGGAATTAAAATTAAAATTAATAAAATAAACGCAAGATAAATCCGTTAAAAATGGTTTCATTTATATTTTTTACTCAATGTCAGATCAAAACTGTTTAAAACATCATAATTACACCTCCGGTTTCTTATTTCATTATAAAAAATAGTAACACCATTTTAAATGATGTATAATAGGTCTGTTAATTTTAAAAAAAAATTTTACAAATGACCGCTTTAATGATAAATATACTTATTACGATACAGATGTGTATCAAGTATTATAGAAGTGAGAAGTAACAGCCTATAAAAGTCCCACTGCTGGGCAAAACCCTCCTGTGTAAAAAGGATATCAGGTAATAGTCCACCACGCGACCCCACTGCCGATTAGCGGACTTCACATATTTTGGAAATATATTTTTTTGTTATTAATTCGAAAATATGCACGTTTCCTCACGATGTTTTCCTTCACCGCCGAGCACGTGATAAGTCAGCATTTAAAATTAACAATTTCATTGATACTGGCACCGGGGTTCGAACTCTAGTAAATTATTACTAGAGTTCGGATACTGAGCTATCACGGCTCACAAGTATAATAATAACATGGCAATGTTTAATAATGATCTTGAATAAAAATCCATACTAATATTATAAATGCGAAAGTAACTCTGTCTGTCTGTCTCGCTTTCACGCCAAAACTACTGAACCGATTTGAATTAAATTTGGTACATAGATAGTACATAGATAGTCTAGAGTCTGAGAAATGACATAGGCTATTTTTTACTTGGAAAAAGTGTTGTAAAGGGTTGAAAGGTGAAAGAAAGATATTTATTTAAGGACTTCAACGCGAGCGAAGCCGCGAGCGAAAAGCTAGTCTTATATAATAGTGAAATGTTTTCTTGCTGTGAAGTCGAATTTGACCCAGTATATTTTGAGCGTTTATTTATAGGAACTTTTTATGGACTGTAGCGATAATTTAACAACTCCCGAAGCTAAACAGTTCATAACATTTTTTGGCCGCATTATCATAGGCCGTGACGGAGTCCATGTACTTTTACTTCGCTCTAAGTGTGTTTTTACTCTCACAACATTAACGATGGGAAACATGTCTGCCACTACTAAGAAATTCTCGGTTATTAGATTATGACTGATATATAATTGTGAAGTTTATAGTATGAGGCTATTGATGATTTCAGATGTCAAACGCATTAATCATACCCGTCACGTGGATGCTATGAACTGATGAAAGGGATGGATTAATGTATAATGTTATGAACATATACATGTTCAATAATATATGAACATCAATATAAACTTCGTGAAATGGTATCAAAATGAAACATACTGACAAATACTGTTTTAATTGTTTATAATAACATAGAAATTATATATTATAAATTATAATAAATAGACACCAGATCAAGCGCATAGGTCATTTAGATTTACAGTATTGTGGTACAAAAAAATATCAGACAAAAGTTGTTTAATCACTCATTGTTTATCACCAAATTTTTGTGCTTTTGGACTTTCTGTAAAAATTACTATGTTATTGTATCTATCTTTGTATTTTATTCAGTGCCCACCTGTCTTTGTAATTGTCCATACAAAATTCCGTTAGGGTTTTTAAGAGTCTTTCGAGGCGACAATTAACATATTAAGATGTCTACCGCCGCCCATGGACATCTGCTACACCCGAGGGTTACAGATGCGTTGACAACCTTTTGAAAATTGGGCTCCGCCTACCTCACTCACCAGGCGAAACGCGAAAGTATTTGTCATACTTCCACTTTACGCTGGTCTTCTGTGAGGTCGTGGTACTTACCCGGACGGGCCTGCCCATTCGTGCAACAGCCGAGGCTGTTGCGTGGCCCTACCATCATTTGATATCGATATTGTAAATGCGAAAATTTGCATTTTGGTTTATATTATTTCGAGCATCACTGAATACAGCAAGGAATTGAAATGTTCATTTTCATTAAGGACAGTAATATATATTTCTATGGCAGTTCAGGCAGCTATGAATATTAAATCAACTGACGATGCACGTTATCGAAAATCTATATATACATGATGTTATATTATTACATAATATTAATCTTTAATATAATTTTTTTGATATAATATGTTGAACAATACAAATTCTAAAGCGACGGCCTTCACGCTGTGTTTTGTTTGAGTGGTCGTTCCTTTGTTTGCTTTGCCGTAGACCGCACTTCGCGAGTAAACTCTTTTATTATTGTTGCTATTTAGAACACTTTATAGAGCAACAGTTATTATGCAGTGTTAAATAACTTGGAGACTTATCTGTTTTCTGCATAATCATGATCGATGTACCTAAAGAGATAAGTTATAAGGGAATGTTAGAGTTTTATAATTTCTTTGTTTACTTGCATTCGATTAAGATTTCGAAATATTCAGAAATCACCAAATTTAAAAAAATTACCCAATTTCTTAAATTATTTTTTTTAAGAACTAACATGCATTTTATTCAAGCTGACATGTTCCTGTATAAACTAATATAGTACTACAAAGTCTTCAAATAGTTGAACCATGCAGTTTAATCCATCCAACTAAAAATTAATTAAACTTTCCTTATTTCATCAGTTTATTCCGAAATATTAGCCGTTGCTGATTTCAGAGTTTATAATGAAATTTCTATCCACATGAGTATTTATTGCATCGGCGTAATTTAACGTTTTCAACTTTCATAGAATAACTTGAGAGTGCAAACGGGTTCCCAACCGATTTCTATATGCGGGGATTTGCTTCGAACCACTGTTTTTCTTTTTACAAACGGGAATGATCTGAGTTTGTGTGAGCTTCAAAGCAACTCAACGTGTTTCTTTCTTTAGTTGGGTAGTTGGGATGTTGGACATGCAAACAAGGTCGTCGCTTCAACGCGTAGCGTCGTATTCCGATTATTTCTGCACTTGACACAAAAAGTCTATAAATTTGGGCTTTTCGTATTTAAAAAAAAAAGAAACATCTATGAAAGTAGCTTAGTCTTGGTGTAGTTGGTTTCAATTACATTATACTAACCCCTCAATAATATTTAACTATAGTAAACTGCATGCACAATGCGACCTTCACATATAATTTTTCTGAGATTATTTAAGTATTATAGATGAATAAAATATTTAAGAAATTATTATTTCAGTTACCTTAATAATCTACATTCAATATCTCACTAACGCAGTCAATGAGATAAATCGTATGTACCATAATTTACAGGTGAAACTTGTCTTGTTCATTAAACGCTTATAAAATTAAAACGGCACATAGGAAGTGACCAAAACACTAAAACACAAAATATAATTATAACGAAGGATTATCAAAACACATAATTGAGTTCGTATTTTCATAAATTTTGTGAAGTACACATGATTTCATGACAAATGCCGTTACGCACAATACAATACTTTCAAGTTCACGAACTTCGCAATGACCGCTTGAACTATTGGGTTTTAGCAAAATCGTATTATGAAACCTGAAGTTCACTTTTACTTCCAGACTGAGAAAGTCAAGTCGAGTGGTCTGTAATTTCGGCGCGGTGCGGATCTATAGTGGCCGTCGAGGGGTGAGGAGAGGTATTTAAGGTTACTCAGTACGCGCCGGCGCACAGTCAGACTGTACTCAGCGATGTGGCGGACGTGTTCCGTTGTCGCTCTCATAGCGGCGTGCTACGCCCTTCCCGCTCAAGAGTCAGGGCCGACGGTCAATGACTCCGAGGGGATCAGCGAATGCTTCCGTAAGGACTCCACCTCCTGCCTCAAGTACAAGTTCTTCACCTACCTCGAGAAGGTCATCGGCCAGAAGGAGAGCTTTTCACTCTCCGACGGCGTGACCGTTGTGAGGGCGAACGACGCGCCAGCTGAAATAGGAGCACCGAGGGCGCTTGACCCAGTATCGCGATTGAAGAATTACTTCGAAACGCACGCCATCCGAGTGGAGGTCAAAGGTTCGGACGTGGTCGACGTGGTGACCAGCGCGGGCCGCGCGTTCGAGGACACAGTGACTTCTCTGACGGAGGAAAGCGATGGCACTGAAGAGGGAAGAGGGAAGAAGAAGAAAGCAGCCAAAATATTTGGACCCCTGCTGGCCGCCGTCATGCTGAAAATGATGGCTCTTATGCCTCTGGCGATTGGAGCAATCGCTCTTATCGCTGGTAAGGCACTGCTGATCGGGAAATTGGCGCTGGTGCTGTCAGCGGTGATTGGCCTGAAGAAGCTGCTGTCTCAGCAAAAGCACGTGACTTACGAAGTCATTGCACACCCACACCACTCGTCTAGCCACACGTCGAGCCACGACTACGGTGGCACAAGTGGTTATGGCGGAGATACTAGCAGCTACAGTGGTGGTGGTGGTCATGCAAGCGGTTGGGGCCGCTCAATAGAGTCCCAGGGCTTGGCCTACTCGGCGCAAAAGCCTCAGTAGCCTGACCACCTGCTTCTTCCCGCAGAGGATCTATTTGTATAGGCGCGGATCTAGAAAAAAAATTCTTTTAAAGTGACATGAAACGAAATGTAGTATATTTTAAAAGTAACACTATTCCTCACTGAAGTTAAAAGTTCAGTTCTAAGGTTTTCTTTTGACTAGTATTAGCCACATCATCACGTTTGATGACGAGTTTTTTTTTTTGTTAATGCTCTCTTAACTTTTACTTTAGATCCAAGCCTTGCTACGCACCGCCCTCACAATATTTAAGTACTTATAATAAGGAGTGCACGTGATGTATGACTGTATTTATTTTGACTGAGTAATCATTTAGGTTTACGATCATCTATAACATGATGCTAAAGTCACTGCTGCCTGACCCAGTATGCCTTATAGGCATAAAGTAGCTATATTTATAGTGTTCTCAAGTAATATATTGTATTAATATGTATGCCGAAGATTATGTACAATTATATGTTTTAAACAAATTACGCTAGTTATAGATATATATGGTTTCCCGGACCATCACTTGGCTTTAATTTTTTTAAGTATCATTTAAGTTAGTAGAACGACTTGTTAATATATTAGTACGTATGTACAGCTTTTACTATGTATAACAGTATACCTTCTGCCACGGGACGAACATTAAAAAATCTTATCAATCTAGTATCTGTATTATATTTTTGTTTTGCTTTCTATTTATCATTTCCTAATTGTTATTACTTTCCTAATTATCATGATTGTTGTGTAAAAAACGTATTTATGTTTTTATTAAATTATTGAATCTTGTTGCTTATTACGTTATTTCAAACACAATTTCTTTATCAAAAATTATAGAAAAGTTGGACGATTTTAATAAAACATTATAAAGCACTCTACAGCACCGTAGCAACCTACCGATATAACTTACCGATGCAGTTGTTCAATAAACATAAATTGAGTATTGAGTAGTCTTATAAAGTTTTTAAAACTCATCACATATCGTTACTTTCTTGATTATACCAAAAAAATTTGCATGTAGATTATTAACGGATTAACGTACACTTGTCGGAGAGAGGTTTTATAACTACCCATCGCGTATGCATTCATTATTCCCGTCTCGAAATAGAAGTTAACACAAATTATGTTAACATTAATATTAGAAGCATATGAGAGAAGCGGAACGTTCACAGAATATTTTCACTGCGTTATGTACTATCGATGTCGAATACAGCGTCCTAAAGTCCAAATTACGAGTATTACGAGTACTACGGGCTGTACAAGTTTTGCTATTACCACATAGCTTACCCTGATTTAACTATGAATTGTTTTAAGTTATTCTGAATTAGTATAAAAATATCTATATAGAAGATCACATAAAAGTAGAATTTTTAATATTAAATTGATTGATTGTTCTTGATCTATTTCAAAAATTATGAACTCGTACCTAAGCTATCTAATTCGAATGTGTAGAAATCTAATTGAACCGGACTTTGAATCGATGTCAAACACGCAGAAAGCCTTAGCTAACCGTGTAAGACTGCAGACTAACTGATTGCCGGAATATGATCTTCAAGAGAAGATTTCTCTTACTTTTTCCGGATGTATTCGCATGCACAAGTGATCTACGTACTCAAATTGCTTGAATTAAACGAGAGAGATCTTACACTTTTCTTCGCTTATACTATCCGTAGGTTTAGTGTCCCTTCATGACTCTTCACCAGCTTTTTTACTCTCACGTGCATTCGTAAAACTGCTTACTAAGTACAAATTGAAATCTTGAATAAAGCTTCTGAGATATTATATATTTTTTTCCGCTGAACATGAAATACTTACATTTACTTTTTCATATTCTATCGAGATCTTCAACTTTAATAAGGCGATAAGGTGTGTATATATCCGAAATTCTTTAAATTTCAAATTCTTTAATTGCAATTTAAAAGAGAAAAATTATAATTAAGAGTGATAAGCGTAATAATTACTAAAATAAATTATTTCATCTTTACAATCGCTTCCGTATTATACTTCGGTAACATAGTACGTAGCTTTCCTTATATCCAGGTCGAGTGTCCGCCCTCTAGAGAAAGGAGAGTCAGGTGAAATCATTAGATTGGTCACGTTTGAAACATTGCGTGAAAAGCAAATTCTACAACATGTTACTGAGGTCAATTTTTGACTTTCTCAGATAATGGAATTTAATCTGGCCGGGACATAGATACTACATCGTGCCTTAAGTCTAGGTAAACTATTCCTAAGTATGATTATCTAATTCAATCTTATAAGTTAAAATTTTAGAAAAAAATTGATGAATTCCTTATTATTATTCATAGAATACTCGAACTTGACCTGTTTTAACAACATTTCTACAGTTAAAATCCCGTCCTGTCCTAGTAGTAACCATGTCGCTGTTGTACTGCAAGGAATGTAATAGCTTTTTTGATTATGATCCTTATACGCTCTCTTCCCTAAGTCGTATCGGTCCGGATATACCGCTGGTGACAACTTTTGCCGTGAAACATAGGGTCGGCACACAATATGAATTTTGTTGTGAATAGTATTGACTAGGCTTTTTCAGGTCGGACCCTCATTGAGAACAAGCACCCAGATCCGCAAAAAGTATTCTGAGGATCTTAAACTTATCCCATGTGGGAATTTAACCCACGACCCTCAGCGCCGAAGCTAATGGCTTAGCAACGTGCTACAGTATAACTACGATAATATGGCTGTCGATAACCTCGTATATCCAACCATTAAAGAAAAAGCTTACATCGAAGGTATTAGAGCATAGCTCGCCACGGAACTTGTACGAGCGGAACTCGACATTCTGCAAGATATATTATTTAACAAACCACCAAGTAAGTAGTAATTACAGTGTATTCTAACTTTGCGCTTAAACACGGGTTGTTAACCCTGCTGCAGTTTAATTTTATCAGTCAAGCAGACTGGGTTAATCTAGACGCTAGCGCTAATAGAAATATTAACGCTGAAGTCGTCATTGTAGACTAAAACAATTTTACTGTGTTTCTTTAAAACTTTCCCGAGCTACTTCTTGTACTATTGATAGCTGCGATGCCGCTACCTATCAGCTGGAATAAGAAGGAATATAATAATATTTCGGAGATAAAGAAATTTTATACATTACAGACATTACATTTCGAATACTTAATAACGTTCGTGTAGACACAGGGGTTTGACGTCCTAATATCACTGATAGCCTAGACTGCATCATTCTTGTTAGCTTCTTTTGTTTGAATTTGTGGTCTATCAAATTTGATGTAAAGATGTTTCGGGTATGTTTGTATTTTATATATGTGCTAGGTGCAAAAGGTATGTCCTAGATAGAAATGCAAATGTTCTAAAGTGGTGATAAAAAATTATTTAGTTTTTATACTCCCCAATGGTCCTTTCGGTTTGTCGAATGTAAATTGAATAATCAACAATTAGTTTGTCCCGTGAAAATGGACTGCATAAAGTGCTCGAAAAGTTGAATTTCTAAACAAATATAAAATTGTATAATCCGTAAAATAGTTTTTTACAATCGTTCTGATTTTCGTTTTTCATCTTGATGGCATTTGTGATAGCGTAAAAACAAGTTTTAAAGTTTGTATGCTTGATTGACGACCGAACCAAAAACATAAGAATTCTTCAATACCTTTAAGTTAAGTTTCTTTTTACAACAGCAGCTATCGGGGTTCGGGTATTTCTAACAATCACGCATCTACTAAATACTCTTTATGGCTTCTGTTATTGCTACGATTCTAGCTTTCAGTATAATATGTCTGGCCTTTATAAACACAGTGAATAGAAAACGTGTGATGTTCTTGAAGGAGGCCGGAAAAGCTGCACATTGCGTACATCTGTTTATGGCAGTGAGTCGCTCATAGAGAAATCCACTTTTTATCTAACTTAGTTTCAAAACATGCTCGTCCGTAGAACTTTAATGAGCAAAATTAAAGAGTGTAATTACATAGAAACTAAGAGCAAATAAGCTGATAATGGTGATTTTTATTGAATGCGAATTTGATGTCACACGACCAAAGTTGGTCAATTCTGATAAATTCTATAAATACTTATTAACATTAAATTGTACTATACTTTTTTTTATGTGAAAAGTTGCCAAGCGAGCAGACGGTTCACCTCATGTTAAGTGAATACCGCCGCCCACGGACATCTGCTGCACCCGAGGGTTGCAGATGCGTTGACAACCTATTGAAAATTGAAAATTTACGCTGCTCTTCTGTGAGTTCGTGGTACTTACTCTGACGAGCCAGCCCATTCGTGCAACAGCCGTGGGTGCTGCGTGGCCCTACCACCGAAATGATACAAGGAGGGAGATATTATTGTATTTCTTTTAATTTTAAAATTATAATAAATCTTGATATTGATAACCAGAGCATGATAGTGTTAGTTATAAATTTTTGGCTTAGCGTTCTCATTTTCTCATTTTCAACGAATCTAAGTTCAGCTAATGATAATAATGTGTTATAAATAAACAACAGGAATGCTTTATATTTTTCAGCATATGTATTAGTAATTAATCTGATAATAAATGATTTGGATGTTTATTTCATTTTCGTATTTTTTTAGGTTTATTAAACTACCATTAAATTTTAAGTTTGAGTGCACTGCGAAGAGTACTACCTGGTTGTCGAACAGTCACGAGAGATTTTGGTATGTAAGAAAACCCACTTCTTTTTGTTTTCTATGTATTGCACAACACGAAGGCAATAAGACCAGTTTCCCAACCAAGATAAAAATAAATACTACTATGCAAATACTTGTAATATATTTGTACTTGTTATATTATTACTCACGAGATACAAATTTATATTGAAACACCATTTAATTTTAATTTTATTTGCTCGTATTCTGTTAACTAGGTACTTAAAACTATGTCATCCAGTTTTAGATAAATGAATCCGGTGTAAAATGGATTATTCGCTTATTCTGTAAGGTTACTACGGACAATGTCACATCAGACGCCTAAGAGAAGCTATTATTTTGATCTAGTGGTTTAT